GGATTCGAACCCGCCACCTTAGGTGTACGTGGCTGGCGCCTTAGCTGGTTGAGCTATAGGCGCCGAGCCTGTATCCAGCATAATTATACTGTAAAATGAAGTTATTCTGGGCAGAGTGCCCTGGCATCAGAGCTCACAGCAATGTCAAACTCCTGGGCTGAAGTGATCTTAACTCAGCCTCCTGAGTAGCTGGGACTATAGGCGCCTCTACTATACCCAGCTACTTTTTCTATTTTTAGTAGAAATTGGGGTCTCACCCTTGCTCAGGCTGGTCTCAAACTTGTGAGCTCAAGCGGTCCACCTGCCTTGGCTTCCCAGGGTGCTGGGATTACAGGTTTGAGCCACTGAGTCTGGCCTTAGATTGAAGTATCCTGAAATCTAATCTCTGGTGTGTTTGTATTATGAGGTGGGGCCCATGGGAAATGACTAGATTGAAGGCAAACCCCTTGTCTGAGGGATTAGTACCCTCATAAAAGAGGCCTAAGTGAGTTTGTTTACCCCTTCTCCTGTCTTTCTCCCTTGTGAGGATCATAGAAGGTACCATCTAGGTGGAGTGAACCCTCACCAGGCAGTGAATCTACTGCCACCTGGATGTTGGACTTCGTAGGCTCCAGAAATATGAACACTAAATTTCTGTTTATAAATTACTCAAGTCTGTGGGCGGCGCCTATGGCTCAGTGAGTAGGGCGCCGGCCCCACATACTGAGGGTGGCAGGTTCAAAGCTGGTCCCAGCCAAACTGCAAAAAAAATAGCCGGGCATTGTGGCAGGTGCTTGTAGTCTCAGCTCCTTGGGAGGCTGAGGCAAGAGAAGAGCCTAAGGCCAAGAGCTGAAGGTTGCTGTGAGCTGTGACGCCATGGTACTCTACCAAGGGTGACAAAGTGAGACTCTGTGTTGCATGAGGGTTTCACAAGGGACAGGCAGCTTCACCATAGGTGTAGCCTTGCTCCTGGAATTATTATTATGATAGAGACAGACTACCCGCTCCTTGGTGGCAAGTAGCAAAGCTTTATTGTTCCTGACCAGCTTTTACAGTTGGCTGGTCATGTACACTTTATTAATTAACAAGCAAAGCATTCTTTTTTTTTTTTTTTTTTTGAG